ATATCGATAAAAGTTGACTGACTTAACTATCGGAGTGCTTGCGGCCGCCTCCCCAAGGCCGAAGAAAGCCATGTGCTACTAACAATTTGTCCAAATGTGTAGGAGCTTTACGTGTGGACACGAGTAGAGTTAACATCTGTTGACCACGTCAGCAGTCAAAAACCCAGGTCAACTGCGATGGTAAAGCATAAGAGAAAGCATTTGACTATGGTTTTCTCTTCTAAACCTGTCGTGTAACAAAAAGCCTAATCAAGCCCAATGGTCACCTCTCATACATTAATATAAAATCCCCAAAATGCCTCATAAATACTACAGAATTATCTTAACATTATTCCTAACCACATAGCTAAAATATGAAAACTCTTAACATAAGACTTGTTTCAGGTTATAAATTTATAATCACATAAATGAGGAGCATCCGTTCCTCCCAATTTGTAAACTTGCAGGGGATAAACTTCTTGCTTGCACTGCAAAGGTAGTGCACTAGGAACCATAAAACAAAATTTTATATTATTTTCAGAATTTGTTCCAAATCAAGCACCTATTATGGACCATAAAGAGAGAGGCCTTGTTTTACCTCATAGCTAGCTGTGTGCAAGATCTAATTAAATATGTAATACTTTAGTGTTATATACAATTTACTAATAAAAATATTAAACAACTTGTGCCTTTTGGTCAGGAATGGTAGTTTCAGAGAAACCTAGAACAAGTTATAATGATACTTCCAAACACAAACTTATAGACCAAAATTTGGTAGATATGAGCACATCAGAGGATCATTTCTACTTTGGCTCAGTTAGAGACAGCATTCCAGCTCTCTCTTCCCACTGTTTTCAGCTCAAACTTGTTTGATTCTCCCTCACTCCTCACAAGTACATATTTTCTTGTAAGATATGTACACAGATATTGTGCATATATCATATTTTAAGAGAATCTACAATTTACCCTAAATTATAAACTTAATAAGAATTCCTTGTGAAGAGTCAGGAAGTTGAATACTCTAGTTAGCTCAACCAACTTCCATAACTACTTACATCATTTCCTATGTAGATTCAACTGGACACACTGCAAATCTTATGAGAATGAAAGTAATTGTTTCCTATATCCACAAGCACAAAAGCTTGCAGAAATTAATTCGCAAGATGATACAATTTATAATACATATAAAGAATATTGAGACTATTAGTTGGGATAAGTGTTTTACTTCACTGCTTGTTCTGTAAAATGCTTTCCTGGTTGCCTCTGCCGAAGTGTGTGCAGGTCACCTCCTGGGCAGAACTCCATAACCAAACATGAGAACTTTTCTGTCTCAAAATGGGTATATAAAGTTGGAAGGAAGGGGTGATCCAGGGACTGCAGTATTTCTCTTTCTGTCTGAGCACGCAAAAGTTTCTTACGACTTGCTAGTGATGCTTTATCCATGACCTTCATGGCAAAATAGCACTTTGTTCCACATAATTCTGAAAGATAGACGCTTCCAATATCGCCACAGCCCAACTTCTTCAACAATCTGAAATGCCTCAAATCTAATGCGCCATCCTTTGATCGTACCACTTGTATGGCTTCCCATCTCATATCATTTGCTTTATGAGGTTTGTTGATGCTGCTACTCAGGCTGCTACAAGTACTTTCGTCACTTATATCAGTACTTGTGCTACCCCTACACAAACTGCTCTTTCCACTCTCAACAAAATCAAGCCGATCACTGATTTTGGCACTTCCACTTGTTTTTGCAAGGCTGCTAGCTCCATCGCTCACTTTAGCAGATGCTGAGCTATCCTTGACAATTGTGTGACCTGATGTTTTCTTTTCCTGATCAGGCTTCTTCTCAAGTGTCTGTAATTGTTTAGAATTACCCAACCGTAAGCTAGAATCCAGTTTATCAGCCACAGAACTGACCAACTCCCTTTGCTGATGATTATGTAACTTCTTTTCCCCTGCTGCTGCTATTGTAATTTTCTTTAAAACAACAGGTTCAACATTTTTAGATGATTCTCTCACGATAGTCTCGGATTTTCCAGTCTTAGAAATAGGCAAGGGTGAAGCCTTGCGAGCATTTCCCCCTAAGACTTGGGTTCCATGTATTTTGCTCTGCTTATCAGAGGAAATCTTGATGCTAGATTCTGAAGCCATTGGAATAAATACAGACTCCTTAAATTAGTCGTATCAAACACACCCATTACTCATTGCCCAGCTTCAGTATTTGACACTTGCTGGCATCAAAATCGAACATTATTGTCTCCAATCCCATCTACAGCTCAGGCGACTACCAGGATAATGCAGATAAACTACAGAAACAGAAGAAATATCAAGTTTAGGTTTTGGAAGAGCTTATCAAAGCAAGAGAGAAATTAATAAAAGGGTTAAAAAATGATCTATACAACCTCTACCAAATCCAAAACCTAGATCATAAATCTAGCAAAAATCTTTAATTGGGTGATAAAAAGATCTTCAATATGTAAACAAAAACAAATTCTCCTTTCGTTTTTCTTTTCTGATTAAAATAAAACACAATAAACATAGAGATGTGAGCGCTGATTAACAAGTAAACACAGAATAGAAATCAAAGAAAAACAATTTCTATAACCTATCCAACATGAACAAAAAACACTTTTGTTTACCTCAAGATGCAATCTTTTTTTAGCCAAAAGCCTAACTTAAAAAAAAAAAAAAAAATGCCTCAAATCACCATCAAAATGCACAAAAAAATAGACTCAATTAACTCATAGAACATAATGCACTTCCTCAATTTACCCTACAGAGCAAAAACTTTCCAAATAGCAAAAGATGAGCACAATTTAGCAGACAAATGAATGGGGAAAATATTGGGCCCATAAAAAGCACGCAGATCTTGAGCAAAGACCACGACTTTTCTGTAAAAAAAACCCTACCACCAGGGATCCAGAAAACCCCACACGAAGAGACGGATTGCTAAAAAAACAAAGCAGATATGGAGAAGCAAAACCCAACTAGCAAATCACTGGACCAGTTCAAAAGTAAGGCAAAAAAAACCGCCCATAGCTAAAAGAGAGTACCTGAAGTCACAAAGATCGGAACTTTAGGGTTTCCATTTTTCTTGCTTTAGCAAATGAGGAAAAAAATGAGAAAAGAGAGCACTCAAAACTGTAGAGAGAGAAAAAGAAGAGCAACACCCCCACTTCCTCCTAAAATGTGTGGATTGAATGAGAGAGAAAAGGTCTTGAGATTGTTGAAAGGGAGAAGTGGGTGGGTAACTGTGGCCTGTGGGTATACCGATACCAGTGTATTCTCTCTCTTGTAGTGTGAAAGAAAAATGTTTCTTAGGGGTCGCCCAACTTACAAGTTTGTTTCGTAGTGATCACCTAATTTTGATTTACTTCAACATGATCATTCCATCTATAACTATGATCAAAGCTTACCAAATTCCATGTGGCTGACAAATTGCATGATCTAACATGACGTTAACTCATTAGTTTTGTCATGAACGAGTAAATTGATAACATTGTTATCATTGATCAATTCCATTTTCGATTTGTTATCAAAGTAATTGTTAAATTATCTTTTGTTTGATCTTTATAATTTTCAAAAAATATTTTTCTTTTTTTTTTTTTTTTAATCACTCATTCTTCAATAAAATAATATTACACGTAAATTCAAAATTTTTCCTTATTTTTTAAATCATACATTCTCCATCAATCTACTATCCTAAAATACATTTTTTTTAGTAAAAATGGAGCTCAAACATACTCTTAGTGGCAAGACATTCAATCAGTTACCGACTAACTAATTGCGATAACAATAAAATCCATTAAACATGATATTCGTGAGCCTTGCCCCATAATCAAGGTACTCGAGGTGAAGATTGTTGCCCTCGATATAGGTATGGAAACATGGTTCATGCCCCATTATTCGTTTCGTTTAAAGTCTATTTCAAGAACTAAGTTTATACACAAAAAAATAAATTTGAAGATGAGTAGGCAAATAATAAAAATAAACTGGGTTGGTAACGAGACTGGGACTCCGTCCCACTTAAAGTAGGGATAATAGCAGGGCAATGGGGAAAATCCGAACAGGGTGAGAGACAGGGAATGATTGACCCGCTGACCCGACTCTATCCCTTCTTGTTACCATTCCTACTATCAATTAGTATTTGTGATGATTGTGCAATTAAAGTAAAGATTGATCAAATTGAAACATATTGAAGAAATTGGGTGACTTCAAGTGCAATTTTCCTCACTGTGTGAGTGAGGTAGAGATACATATGTGTATATAGTTTGTATACATATAGAGAGAAATAGGGGTTGGGGTGAGAGGTAAGGGCGTTTTGATAAGGGGTCAAAGAAGGAAGGGGTTAAAGTAAAGCTTTCCACGTTTAATAATTTGATGGTATTTTGTCCCAAACACAAGGGTCTGAATCAACACATGGGCCCCACAAATGCTCCACCCTGTCCCTCATGCTTGGGACCCACACCACCCTTAATTTCCAATTTAAAGCTCTTTATCTAACTTGCTAATGACCTGTTTTGTGGTCCATCACACATCTCATTCATTGTAAACTTTGGACCAAAATTTAATTACGACAAGTAAACTAAGGTATTATATTGTTATATTTATGATCACCATGTGAATGCAATTTGTTCGTAATAAATAGGTGTGCCACTAGTTATTTACATGTCTGAATTTGGGATCTGTTGACTCTTCTTTATTTCAACAAAATTTAAAAATGATTACTTATGGTTAGATATTGAGTCGGAGAATCGTATTATCAATTAGAGGGACATTTTAAACGAAGGAGAACATCTCAAATTTGAAACAAAACTGAAAATGAAACCGAATGATTTTATTTACAAAATAATTGAAATAGGGTGGATGATTCTAGATCTACCAGTCACCCACCCGACACACACCCCTATCTATATGAAGCAAATTGATTGTCAACTCTTTTTATTAGAATTGCACAATCTTTCTAATTGACAACTATCGACCAAACCTATTGCAAATCATCACACGAAACTCAACCCATAGCTCTAACGTTATGAAAGTAAATTTTGCTTTTAACTTGGGCCTTATTTGTCATCTTTTAACAAAATAAATTATTTGCTACAGTAACATTCTCCACCGCACATTTACACAATAAAATATTCTACACACAAACCAATTAAAAAAAATTTTAATTCAATCACACATTCTCCAAAAACTACTATTCAAAACTCTATATTTTCTTCCAAAATGGGAGACAACAAGCTTTTAATTTGATGCCTAAAAATTCACATTAAAACATGCTTTCACAAGGTTTACCCAACAGTTTAATGAAGATTTGGATGATTTCATCGGAGACGGCTCATCAAAAAGGTTGAATAACTAAGGTGTCATTTCCCTGTTTGTTCATGTTACCAGTCTACATTAAAGACACCTCTGCCCCGTTTTACGTGAGTAAAATTAACAAGGATTTCAATGCAAGATGCATACATTATTAAAACATCCACTTTTCATGCATCAAATTTGAAAATCCTGTTTTAACATAAACATTAGCCAAATACTGCAGATCTTTCAGAAAAATACAGGCCAAGCTTCCCCAAAAAAGATCATGATTGCAACTGTCTTGATAGCTTTTTTTGTAAGGTTGAGCATACATTAGTGGACGAAAAAGAAAAAAGGACCAAAATCTTATCAATTCTAATGTCCAATCCTATATGTTATCGTGCACGAAACATGAGCATAAAAGATAAACTCGAAGGAGAGGGGGAAAAATGAAAAATTATAATAATAATAAAAAATTAATAATGGTCAAGATATCATAAATGTTAGGTAGATTACCTTTCAATTAAAAAAAAAAAAAAAAAAATGAATGTTAGGAAGATTATAAAATGCTTGGAAAAAATAATACAGGCCTACATGACATGCCAAGTATCCTTGGAGGACCCCTCACGAGAGCTCGGTTATCACTCGCTCACACTTGTCTTCCAAAATCTTCACAGCTTCAGTGAACAGCATCTCAGGAGGTAATGCTCCGGTAGACTCTATAGTAACTACAAAAGTAGAACACGAAGAAGATATAAGATTTTATCATAAAAGGATTCGAAATTGGGAAGGAAAAAAAACAAATAGACAATGGCCATGATTTAATCAACATCCAACATAACTCTTTCCTCGTTACTTTTCTGCAACGAGAAGTCTCATCCTATAGTCCTTAAACTGAATTAAATACTCCAACACCAGCATTTGTATGCCAGGAGTTGGTTGGAAACCACAGATTATGATAATCTTCAATGAAGTCCGGCTACTGAAAAGTGGAAGAAAGCTTACACAATTTCTTTGAAGTTAATTTTTCACAGTCTATCTGTGAGAAAGCCTTGACATTTTTGTTTTAAAGCTAGAAAATCATCTTTCATAAACCATGACTATCCAGAGCAGGAAAAATTATATGAGCTGTGACAATGTTTCTTCAGGTAACTTTTGGCCATTAGAATGGACATTCTATGAGCTTCAACAATCAAATATAGCAGCAGCAGCAGCACTATACAATAATAACTACTCGAAATGAGCCCCAGATCAGGAAAAAAAAAAAAAAAAAGCTTAGAGCAAACCCATGACATAATCTTTCAATAACTACCAAGATTTAATAGTTCTGCCTTCAGTAGTTTAACAAATAAATCGTGTAAGCTCGAGCCACTTGAAAAAAAGTCAGTGTTTCCTGAAATCTGAAAGACATTCAATGATAGTAGCAGCTATAGAATGGAAACCATCAAGAGATGAAAGAGGTTTCAACACTTCACTTACAGATGAAATGATCTTTCACACGTCGCAATGCAACATACTTATCCCAATAAATCCTTTGTTCTTTTTCCTTCTCTTTTCCATCTGCTCGGATGCATTCCCTACAAAGGGTACAAGACCGAGGTCGTGCAACTGTTGCTCTCTTTCTACCTATTCAAGAGTAGAGGAGATGTCAAGAGCCATAGTAACTTGCACTCATTTTTGTACGTAGTATACATTTTTAATCCATTTTCACAGATGTCGATAATAACAGTTCTGCAGTTGGATTTGCCATTTAAAATATATAGAAAACGCTTTAAATGGCACAAGCATCATCTTACCTTTACCAATATCTTCAATGTCAAATACTTTAACGGGGCACTTCTTTACAAGTTCTTCTGCTATTTCACCTTCTATTTCTTGCAACAACACAACCTATACAAATCGACAGTTCAGATCTTTATAACTTCCACTTCATGCTTGTACTCCCAGTGCAATAATCAGATATAACACATAACTAACATTTTATCAAGATTTGCCCTTTTTTCCCTTTTAAAGAAGGAAGCAGTAATAAACAAGGCAGTAAATGTTTTTTATACCTCAGGAAGCATCCTATACCACGAAGTGGCAACAGGGGACCACTTCGCATGTGTCTTACCCATTCCTTTTACAGCATGTGCTTCCAACTCAATTTCCTGTAATCAAGCAGCATTAAATTCTCAATGAGGCAGAAAAAACAATCTTTTACATAAAATGAATCAGTTTTCCAATCAATTTTCTTCAACTGCACAAGACTTGTTATCGAATAATAAAATTGCATAGCAATATAGATGAATGATCATATTATAAGTTTGCTCGCTGATGTCTTTTGCAATCAGATAATCTCTCATGAACAAAAAGATTTGTGGATTCAAACATACTAAATAGTAGCCCAAAGCACATACATACAAAAACACTCAATATGAATGACCCAAAATGATGAGAGATAAAGGGATCATTCACAATGTCAATTGATAAAAAATTATAACCTAAAGGCTTAGGGAAAAAAATTCAATTCCTACCTGTCCAGGTCCCAGTTTAGCTATAATAATATCATCATGCTTAGGGCCAATAGGGTTGTTAGAAAATTCTGGTAGAGAGTCTTGGCTACAATTGAATGAAGTATAAGTTCTGGGCCTTGAAGTTGGATCCACAGCTGGCTTTTCTGTGCTCACGGTGAGCTCACTGCCTCTAGGTAGCCACTGTAGTTCATTGGACAATACTGTATCCAAAAGACAGAAAACAAAGTGTTGCATCGGATATTAACATAAAAGAAATGAAATGGTAATTGATAACATAAAGTGAAACAGAGCCCATGATCTTCGTTCACTGATATGAACATAATACCTTTAATCCGTGAACTGCCCCTTTCACAACGACTATGAAGCTTGAATACAATGGTGTTCTTTTCATTCGGTACGTCATTTTCTGCAGGGAAAAAAAGAAAAGAAAGAAACAACTTGTCCATCACATATTGCCCATCAA